ACCTATAAATTTCAACTATCTCTTTCAGATATTAATTATAAATGTCCTTTTTGTTTCCTCTAAAATTTTGTCATTGTGTACGTTTTCGGTCCATGGCATTCTCAGCATTCTTCTGTAGAATCACATTTCTTTTGCTTTAAATCTCTTCTGTAACACTGATATCTCCAAAGGTTGATCAAACAAAAAAAAAAAAAAGAGAAAGAAAGAAAGAAGAAGATAGAGTCTCCTAACCGGATGGTAATTGTTGAAATTCACAATAAGATGGATTGAAAAGTTGAGAAGAAAATTAAAAACAAAATAGGTTGAAAAATCATGTTTTAAGATAATTCCAAGGAGAATCAAACTCAAATTTAACTAAACAGAATTCAGTAAGATTAAGCAAAACCAAGACTATCTGTCCTTCCCCACTTCTCATCGATAAGAAATAGACCATAAGGTATCCATGTTAGATAAAATAAAAACATGTTGCCAATAACGAGACCAGAAAAACCATCTTTTGAATCAGCCACTCAGAAGAGAAGTATCCCCACAGAGATAAAGACCAACTGGACATGTTCATCATTATAATTTCTGTGACATTCATCATCCAGAGAAAATTTTTTCACAAGTTAATTCAGATTCCTTTGGATACAAGTGATAAGGAAAAAATACTTACTTTTTTAAAGTGACCATGGACAAAAAGTCTGTGTGGGATGCTGATTGTAAAAAATGCATAGACAGAGAAAAGATAAACTTTCATTTTAAGGAGAGTTGAAATAATTTTTCTTTCCTTTTCCAGTTCTTGAATTGTCTAGTTGATGGAGAGATCCCAGTATGGGGAAAGCTGATAAAGAAGGATTAATGACTGAAAATCCCTTTTTGTTTTCGCTGCACCATCTGGAAGTTGGATTTCTCATACCAGCCTTAGGAGAGGGCTGAGGTTAGCTGCTGAGAAAGTGGGAGAAAGAAGAGAGAGATTAGCACTGCCTATATGAAGCTAGAGTGTGAGGTGAGGTGTGAAGTGTGTTGGAGTTATGGGGTGGCTTGATTCCTCTGACCACTCTCAAAAGAGGACTGGACAACCCCAAATTTGGAAAACCACTTGAGTAAATGTATTTTTATATATGGAAATTTAGAAAAGGTTGATGCTTAGGGCAGAAGACAACCAAAATCAACCCTAGTCAACCCCAACCCTGTCGGGTGCATGACTACATATAGGCTGGAGATTTTGGACAGCTGACTCACAGAAAAAAGAGAGTCCCCACATTATTGCTACTGGAATCCACATCATTTGCCAAAATCTTCTGACAGGCCTGAAGATCAGAACTTAGAAATTTAATTTACTACTAAAATAAGTTGCAGACTCCAAAGGGGATCCCAGTGTCATTTGATTATAACAACCAGGAACGGTTAAAACAGCTGTATACAACAAATCATATATAAACCAAATTGTTGTTACATTTTTAACCCAAGTTAATTCTTTATTTCAAAGGATTCTTGCTTTTTGTGTAGCTCCCACTGTCAAACCAGTCCTCACTTCAGTCTGCTTCATCAGTGATCTTCTCACCCTCTGAGATCAAAAACAAATTGACATAGGAATGAATAGTCATGAACAGACAAATGCCAGCTAAGTCGAGTGGAACCGTGCTACCATCACAATACCAGCAAGTGAAGAGGCAGCCAAATGATAACCACAGCGGTCTGAATGAACTTGAGGATCAACAAATGAAGTTACATATTTGGTTACTAATAACAAGGGTCGACAGTGGTGTTACATTATTGGTTGCCATGGACTAGGATTGACTGGGCTTACACTTCTTCATCTATAATTCACTGTCATATAGAAGGACTGATATTATATAACAATTTAGTACTCTTTGTTTTTAACAAAATTTTCTTTTTTCTGAATATTTTGCTTAGCTTTTGGAAGGCATCTTTTGCTATCCTAATACACCTTTGGATTTCATTGTCACTCTGTTAAAATACTTCCCAGATATTTAAGTTGCTGTATCTTCAATCTGTAATTTGCATGTTGGGTTGCTTCTTTTGCTGACAACCATGTATTCTCTTCTTAGAATTGATGTTTAGTTTTTTTTCTTCTTGCTTTTCTTCACTACCTTCTGTAGGAGTTCCTCTAGTTTTCCTTTCTATGTTTCTGAGGCAGCATTAATGCAATGTGGCTCACAATAGAATCAGAGAATTTTAACTCAGGAGAAGAAGAGGAGATTGAAGACTCATTAAAATTAAACCCATGACATATAAAAAACAACAAAATATAATATTTCTAACATCAATAATTTCAGGGTGGAAAATGGTATGCCTGTGTTTACAAAACCTAGCCGAATTTATTATTGATGCTTCCACCAAAATGAGGACAGTCATTGATTATTGATTTGTTGAGTATTGATATTAATGACACTTCAGATGAAAAAGTATTGTGAGCAGAGCCTTATGGTGATCCCAGCTGCTGCCAAGGCTGTCTATATCTATGTCCTATCACAGTAGGACCTCACTGTTTGTA